ATCATCTACTTTTGAGGCGCCTCAAAAGAGAACAGATCATCTACTTTTGAGGCGCCTCAAAAGAGAACAGATCATCTACTTTTGAGGCGCCTCAAAAGAGAACAGATCATCTACTTTTGAGGCGCCTCAAAAGAGAACAGATCATCTACTTTTGAGGCGCCTCAAAAGAGAACAGATCATCTACTTTTGAGGCGCCTCAAAAGAGAACAGATCATCTACTTTTGAGGCGCCTCAAAAGAGAACAGATCATCTACTTTTGAGGCGCCTCAAAAGAGAACAGATCATCTACTTTTGAGGCGCCTCAAAAGAGAACAGATCATCTACTTTTGAGGCGCCTCAAAAGAGAACAGATCATCTACTTTTGAGGCGCCTCAAAAGAGAACAGATCATCTACTTTTGAGGCGCCTCAAAAGAGAACAGATCATCTACTTTTGAGGCGCCTCAAAAGAGAACAGATCATCTACTTTTGAGGCGCCTCAAAAGAGAACAGATCATCTACTTTTGAGGCGCCTCAAAAGAGAACAGATCATCTACTTTTGAGGCGCCTCAAAAGAGAACAGATCATCTACTTTTGAGGCGCCTCAAAAGAGAACAGATCATCTACTTTTGAGGCGCCTCAAAAGAGAACAGATCATCTACTTTTGAGGCGCCTCAAAAGAGAACAGATCATCTACTTTTGAGGCGCCTCAAAAGAGAACAGATCATCTACTTTTGAGGCGCCTCAAAAGAGAACAGATCATCTACTTTTGAGGCGCCTCAAAAGAGAACAGATCATCTACTTTTGAGGCGCCTCAAAAGAGAACAGATCATCTACTTTTGAGGCGCCTCAAAAGAGAACAGATCATCTACTTTTGAGGCGCCTCAAAAGAGAACAGATCATCTACTTTTGAGGCGCCTCAAAAGAGAACAGATCATCTACTTTTGAGGCGCCTCAAAAGAGAACAGATCATCTACTTTTGAGGCGCCTCAAAAGAGAACAGATCATCTACTTTTGAGGCGCCTCAAAAGAGAACAGATCATCTACTTTTGAGGCGCCTCAAAAGAGAACAGATCATCTACTTTTGAGGCGCCTCAAAAGAGAACAGATCGTCTACTTTTGAGGCGCCTCAAAAGAGAACAGATCATCTACTTTTGAGGCGCCTCAAAAGAGAACAGATCATCTACTTTTGAGGCGCCTCAAAAGAGAACAGATCATCTACTTTTGAGGCGCCTCAAAAGAGAACAGATCGTCTACTTTTGAGGCGCCTCAAAAGAGAACAGATCATCTACTTTTGAGGCGCCTCAAAAGAGAACAGATCATCTACTTTTGAGGCGCCTCAAAAGAGAACAGATCATCTACTTTTGAGGCGCCTCAAAAGAGAACAGATCATCTACTTTTGAGGCGCCTCAAAAGAGAACAGATCGTCTACTTTTGAGGCGCCTCAAAAGAGAACAGATCATCTACTTTTGAGGCGCCTCAAAAGAGAACAGATCATCTACTTTTGAGGCGCCTCAAAAGAGAACAGATCATCTACTTTTGAGGCGCCTCAAAAGAGAACAGATCATCTACTTTTGAGGCGCCTCAAAAGAGAACAGATCATCTACTTTTGAGGCGCCTCAAAAGAGAACAGATCGTCTACTTTTGAGGCGCCTCAAAAGAGAACAGATCGTCTACTTTTGAGGCGCCTCAAAAGAGAACAGATCATCTACTTTTGAGGCGCCTCAAAAGAGAACAGATCATCTACTTTTGAGGCGCCTCAAAAGAGAACAGATCATCTACTTTTGAGGCGCCTCAAAAGAGAACAGATCATCTACTTTTGAGGCGCCTCAAAAGAGAACAGATCATCTACTTTTGAGGCGCCTCAAAAGAGAACAGATCGTCTACTTTTGAGGCGCCTCAAAAGAGAACAGATCATCTACTTTTGAGGCGCCTCAAAAGAGAACAGATCATCTACTTTTGAGGCGCCTCAAAAGAGAACAGATCATCTACTTTTGAGGCGCCTCAAAAGAGAACAGATCATCTACTTTTGAGGCGCCTCAAAAGAGAACAGATCATCTACTTTTGAGGCGCCTCAAAAGAGAACAGATCATCTACTTTTGAGGCGCCTCAAAAGAGAACAGATCATCTACTTTTGAGGCGCCTCAAAAGAGAACAGATCATCTACTTTTGAGGCGCCTCAAAAGAGAACAGATCATCTACTTTTGAGGCGCCTCAAAAGAGAACAGATCATCTACTTTTGAGGCGCCTCAAAAGAGAACAGATCATCTACTTTTGAGGCGCCTCAAAAGAGAACAGATCATCTACTTTTGAGGCGCCTCAAAAGAGAACAGATCATCTACTTTTGAGGCGCCTCAAAAGAGAACAGATCGTCTACTTTTGAGGCGCCTCAAAAGAGAACAGATCGTCTACTTTTGAGGCGCCTCAAAAGAGAACAGATCGTCTACTTTTGAGGCGCCTCAAAAGAGAACAGATCGTCTACTTTTGAGGCGCCTCAAAAGAGAACAGATCGTCTACTTTTGAGGCGCCTCAAAAGAGAACAGATCATCTACTTTTGAGGCGCCTCAAAAGAGAACAGATCATCTACTTTTGAGGCGCCTCAAAAGAGAACAGATCATCTACTTTTGAGGCGCCTCAAAAGAGAACAGATCATCTACTTTTGAGGCGCCTCAAAAGAGAACAGATCGTCTACTTTTGAGGCGCCTCAAAAGAGAACAGATCATCTACTTTTGAGGCGCCTCAAAAGAGAACAGATCATCTACTTTTGAGGCGCCTCAAAAGAGAACAGATCATCTACTTTTGAGGCGCCTCAAAAGAGAACAGATCATCTACTTTTGAGGCGCCTCAAAAGAGAACAGATCATCTACTTTTGAGGCGCCTCAAAAGAGAACAGATCATCTACTTTTGAGGCGCCTCAAAAGAGAACAGATCGTCTACTTTTGAGGCGCCTCAAAAGAGAACAGATCATCTACTTTTGAGGCGCCTCAAAAGAGAACAGATCGTCTACTTTTGAGGCGCCTCAAAAGAGAACAGATCATCTACTTTTGAGGCGCCTCAAAAGAGAACAGATCGTCTACTTTTGAGGCGCCTCAAAAGAGAACAGATCATCTACTTTTGAGGCGCCTCAAAAGAGAACAGATCGTCTACTTTTGAGGCGCCTCAAAAGAGAACAGATCATCTACTTTTGAGGCGCCTCAAAAGAGAACAGATCGTCTACTTTTGAGGCGCCTCAAAAGAGAACAGATCATCTACTTTTGAGGCGCCTCAAAAGAGAACAGATCATCTACTTTTGAGGCGCCTCAAAAGAGAACAGATCATCTACTTTTGAGGCGCCTCAAAAGAGAACAGATCATCTACTTTTGAGGCGCCTCAAAAGAGAACAGATCATCTACTTTTGAGGCGCCTCAAAAGAGAACAGATCATCTACTTTTGAGGCGCCTCAAAAGAGAACAGATCGTCTACTTTTGAGGCGCCTCAAAAGAGAACAGATCATCTACTTTTGAGGCGCCTCAAAAGAGAACAGATCATCTACTTTTGAGGCGCCTCAAAAGAGAACAGATCATCTACTTTTGAGGCGCCTCAAAAGAGAACAGATCATCTACTTTTGAGGCGCCTCAAAAGAGAACAGATCATCTACTTTTGAGGCGCCTCAAAAGAGAACAGATCATCTACTTTTGAGGCGCCTCAAAAGAGAACAGATCGTCTACTTTTGAGGCGCCTCAAAAGAGAACAGATCATCTACTTTTGAGGCGCCTCAAAAGAGAACAGATCGTCTACTTTTGAGGCGCCTCAAAAGAGAACAGATCATCTACTTTTGAGGCGCCTCAAAAGAGAACAGATCATCTACTTTTGAGGCGCCTCAAAAGAGAACAGATCATCTACTTTTGAGGCGCCTCAAAAGAGAACAGATCGTCTACTTTTGAGGCGCCTCAAAAGAGAACAGATCATCTACTTTTGAGGCGCCTCAAAAGAGAACAGATCGTCTACTTTTGAGGCGCCTCAAAAGAGAACAGATCATCTACTTTTGAGGCGCCTCAAAAGAGAACAGATCATCTACTTTTGAGGCGCCTCAAAAGAGAACAGATCATCTACTTTTGAGGCGCCTCAAAAGAGAACAGATCATCTACTTTTGAGGCGCCTCAAAAGAGAACAGATCGTCTACTTTTGAGGCGCCTCAAAAGAGAACAGATCATCTACTTTTGAGGCGCCTCAAAAGAGAACAGATCGTCTACTTTTGAGGCGCCTCAAAAGAGAACAGATCATCTACTTTTGAGGCGCCTCAAAAGAGAACAGATCATCTACTTTTGAGGCGCCTCAAAAGAGAACAGATCATCTACTTTTGAGGCGCCTCAAAAGAGAACAGATCGTCTACTTTTGAGGCGCCTCAAAAGAGAACAGATCATCTACTTTTGAGGCGCCTCAAAAGAGAACAGATCATCTACTTTTGAGGCGCCTCAAAAGAGAACAGATCATCTACTTTTGAGGCGCCTCAAAAGAGAACAGATCATCTACTTTTGAGGCGCCTCAAAAGAGAACAGATCATCTACTTTTGAGGCGCCTCAAAAGAGAACAGATCGTCTATCGTAATGGAATTCAATCTGGAGGAAGGGTAACACGCTGAGGCATGTGGTGACTTTCTAATAGACTCTAAGGTCACCGCATGCACGTGACTCTAAGGTCACTTCGCACGAGGCACCAGAGAAAGGGACTGATGCACATAGACTCACCTCAGACAACGTGCGTTCTTCCAGAGCTCGTTCAAGGATGCGTGCCACGTCAGCGCTTGCTTGTGCCATGTCATGAATCCGCATGGTCTTATCACTTGGTGTAATGTCCACGTCATCACCAGCCACGTGGGCACGTCTCTCTGTTCCGGTCAGCAACCCATCTGCACCTACAGCTATACATCCTCCTCCGTATATCTCCCTTGATTCTGCTGTTGCTGCTGCGTCTGTTGTTGCTTCTGCTGCTGCTAATCCTCTCCCTTCTGCTGCTGCTGCTGACTCTGCTCCTGCTGCTCCTGTCAGCAAGCCATCTGCACCGGGTGGCAGGGGCAGCAGCGTCCCAGGCGCCCACCGCTGGCACCTGGCGTAGCCCGAGCTGTCTGAATGTTGGAGGACGCGGGGAAGGACCCCGGGGTCCTGGTGGGAGGGAGGGCGGACGGGGAGGCAGAAGCGGAGACAGGAGGAGAAAACGGTGTGGCTGTGTGAACCGGGTGGCAGGGGCAGCAGTGTTCCAGGCGCCCACTGCTGGCACCTCGCATAGCCTATGTGAGAGTTGGAGAACGTGGGGAAGAACCAAAGGGGTCCTGGTGGGCGTGATGGGGGGAGGCACAGAGGCAAGGTCAGGGTGGCAGGGGCAGCAGGGTCCCAGGCGCCCACTCTTGGCACCTGGCGTAGCCCGAGCTATCTGAGAGTTGAACAACATGGGGAAGGACCACGGGGTCCTGGTGGCAGGCAGGGAGAAGGGAAGCGAGGGCAGGGCGGGCAGGGAGAAGGGAAGGGAAGGGAGGGCTGGGCGGGCAGAGAGAAGGGAAGGGAAGGGAGGAAACCAACGCGGATTCACGGCTTCAAATCAGAGGCCTTGCGTATGGGGGGGCTGTGGATACCGATTCGAAGGGAAGAAAGGATAGGGAAGGGACATGGCGGGCCTTGCAGCTGCAGAGGAGTGGATGCATATTGTCCTCTCGTCTCTCGCCCAGGATCACCTGCCACAGTGACAGGGCTAGCACGCACTGTGGCTGGGACAGCACGGTGACAGGGCCAGCACGGTTCCAGCCACGTGTCAGCAGTTTCACCAGCCACAGCCACGTGTCACCATTCTTACCACCAGCCACGTGTCACCATTCTTACCATCTACAGGGCAGTATTCTCACCAGCCACGTGTCTTGGTTGTGCAGTGACAAAAAACTCGGGTAAACAGGCAGGCGAGGCACGAGAACCTTCCCAGAAGCTGCAGTGACTGATGCCAGCTCGTGAATGTGCGGCCAGGGGGCCTGGGAAACAGGAATGGGGAAAGGGAGGAGGCAGGTGGATAGGATGGGGGTGAATTTTGAGGCGCCTCAAAATTCAACTCAAGGCCTGGGAAACAGGAATGGGGAAAGAGAGGAGGCAGGTGGATAGGATGGGGGAGTGGAGGGCAAGTGGAAGGGAGCGATGGAAAGGGGGAGAAACCGAATGGGGGAGTGGTAGTGAGAGCAAGGGGAAGAGGAATGAGGGGGACAGGAGAAAGGGGATATGCGACAGATATGGGAGGTTGACTAGACAACTCAGAAAGAGAGCAAGGAAAGAATGAATGAGGGGAGGTCAAGGGAGATAAGCGAGATTAAGCATGTGATGACTGGTGGTGTTGACTGAGTCAACTGTGTGGGTCAAGAACCTTCTCAGCCTGTCAGTGCAGAGCCTTACAACAGGGTTGACCTGGTCAACTGTAACAGGAAATCATTCTCCTAAGACAGCAATAACTTGAGAAATTCCTTTGAGAAAATTCCTTCCTGCTCCACCCTGCAAACAGAAACTGCTCGGCCTTACGCTTTAGCACCTCACCTCAGGGTTGACCCAGTCAACGGTGACTGGTGAGATCCCTCCCCAGTCGTTGATCCCCGCTGCTATGAGAGCACCCTGAGCCAAGTTCCCCGCACTGCCACACACCACGATGTGAGGACAGAGCAGGAAGAGGGGGTAAAGGAGGGATATGGGGAGCGTCCAGAAAAAGAGGTTAAGAGGGTGAAAATGAAGTAGGGGAAACTACTGCAAGAGATGTTCGGGGGGGAATTTTTGAGTCGACTCAAAAGTCAACTACTGCAAGAGATGTTCGGGGGGAAATAGGGGAGAAACGGACTGGGCCCGTGAGTGCGTGTGCCCCTGCCATGTGTGTATAGCATAGCCAGGCCCCTGCTCATTCCCTCTGCTAACTCACCTCAGGTTGGCCGGGGACTGAATGCTCATGTGAACCCCAAACACGATGCGTGCCATCGCCACGCTCCACAGCAGCTCCTCCGCCTCTGATGAGTTTTTAGGCGCCTCAGAGAGCCTCACCTGAGGTTGGGTGGCGACTGGATGCTCATGCATGCACCAAGCACAATCCATGCCATCGCCACGCTCCATAGCAGCTCCCCGCCTCTGCATGCCCCAACCCCTCATCCTCGTCCCCCGCACCCCACCCACCACAGCCTCACCTGAGGTGGGGTGGCGACTGGATGCTCATGCATGCACCAAGCACAATTCAGGCCATCGCCAGGCTCCACAGCAGCTCAAACGCCTCTGCATGCCCCCACACACACCCCCATCCTCGTCCACCCCACTCTGACCCTGCTCGCCCTCTCCTCTCTCACCTGAGGTTGGGCGGCGACTGGATGCTCATACGAGCCCCGAACACGATTCTCGCCACCGCCACGCTCCACAGCACCTCCTCCACTTCTGCGTGTTCCCACCCCCCCATCCTCGTCTGCCCCTTGGCTCTGAATGGCTGGATAATGATTTCTTGTATGTGCCCATAGCGACAGTGTAGGTCCCGCAAGCTCAATAAGTCCCTTAGTCTGTCAGCCTTCGATTCGCCTATGCCCACAAGGAGACCGCCTGTAAAGGGTATACGGGCAGCTCCTGGGGTAAGGAAGGAGTGAGAAGCGAGTCAGAGGTGAGTGAGAAGGTCAGAGGGAAGGAAACGGCTGCATGATCACCCCCCACCCCATCCTCGTCCGCCTCTTGGCTCTGAACGGCTGCATGATCATCTCCTGTATGTGCCCGTAGCGGGTGTGAAGGTCCCGCAGGGTTAGCAGGTCCCTTAGTCTGTCGGCCCTTGACTCGCCTATGCCCACAAGAAGACCGCTTGTAAAGTGTATGCGAGCAGCACCTGCCGTGAGAGGAAATAAGGGGAATGAGAGGAGCGAGTGAGAGGGGAGTGAGTGAGAGAGAAGGGAGAGGGCTGTGAAAGGGGAATGAGAGACGCCTATCCTGACTAAACTCTGCGCCGCAACGCCACCTACACCTTTCACTCAGACCTCTCACCCTGTACCTCTCCCCATTTTTCCCAGAAAGATCACCAGCAGCTTCGATTGTTGCCAGTCTCAGTCGGCTCCTTATCCAGACAGCCCCAGTGCGCCCCACCAGGCTGCATCAGCCACTCACGAATCCAATGCCCTCCTGCCTGCACCGCAAACACCCTCTGCTGAGCACCCTCCACAACTCACCAGCGGCTTCGATTATCGCCAGCCTGGCACGTGGCTCCTTATCCAGACACCCCCCCGATGAGCCGCACCAGGCGTCACCTGCGCCACAGCACTCCAATGCCCTCTTACCTGTACCTCTCACCCTCTGTTAAGCTCCCTCTCTACCCCTGAAGATCACCAGCAGCTTCGATCGTTGCCAGCCTGACACTCGGCTCCTGATTGAGCATCCCCAATGCGCTCCACCGGGTTTCACCAGCCCCTCGCGAATCCAATGCCTTCCTGTCTGCACCTCACTCACCCTCTGCTGAGAACCCTTCACAACTCACCAGCAGCCTCAATTGTTGCCAGCCTGGCACTCGGCTCCTGATTGAGCACCCCCAATGCGCTCCACAGGGTTTCACCAGCCCCATCGCCGTTCTCTCCAGTTTTGTTAGAATTCTCAAAAAACAGTTCTACCAGCCCCATTGCCGTGCTCTCCAATTCTCTCTAGTGCTCCCCCCTGCCTGTGTGTAATACCTCCTACTCTTTCTGCCAACCAACTCACCAGCAGCCTCGATCGTTGCCAGCCTTACGCTCGGCTCCTTATCCGGGCAGCCCCAGTGCGCCCCACCGGGCTGCATCAGCCCCTCCCGTGCTCTCCAATTTCCCCTTGGCCTATCCAGAGCGCTCCAGCCTGTGTGCTGTACCTCTCACCTTTTACCCCTGAAAACTCACCAGCAGCCTCGATCGTTGCCAGCCTCACGCTCGGCTCCTTATCCGGGCAGCCCCAGTGCGCCCCACCGGGCTGCATCAGCCCCTCAGCCGTGCTCTCCAGCATCAGCCCCTGGCTGGCCGCCACGTGGCGCAAAAGGACAAGGTCTGCCGCCCCCATGGTGCCCGCATTAATGTGTGGCAGGAGTCCTGTGCACTGTAGTACTCTGGAGGCCAAATGGTCGACGTAGTGAATGGTGGAGGCGAATCCCAGCTCCTGCAGCTATAACAGAAAGAAGAGAAAGAAAGGAAGTGGTGGGGTTGAGGAGATAGAACAGAATTTCGCACTGTAACACTCTGTCGGCTAGGTGGAAGCGGGAAAAAGGGATAAGGAGAGAACTAACCTCTTCCCTCGCCTCCTCATATCTGAGCTCTGGTATATCACCCAGAGTGAACAGAGCCTCCACACACCCCGAGCACAGGTCTGAGGCGCCTCAACAGCTAGAGAATTCGACTGACCTCTTCCCTCGCCTCCTCATATCTGAGCTCTGGTATATCACCCAGAGTGAACAGAGCCTCCACACACCCCGAGCACAGGTCTGAGGCGCCTCAACAGCTAGAGAATTCGACTGACCTCTTCCCTCGCCTCCTCGTTTCTGAGCTCAGGTTTATCACCCAGAGTGAACAGAGCCTCCACACACCCCGAGCACAGGTCTGAGGCGCCTCAACAGCTAGAGAATTCGACTGACCTCTTCCCTCGCCTCCTCGTTTCTGAGCTCAGGTTTATCACCCAGAGTGAACAGAGCCTCCACACACCCCGAGCACAGGTCTGAGGCGCCTCAACAGCTAGAGAATTCGACTGACCTCTTCCCTCGCCTCCTCGTATCTGAGCTCAGGTTTATCACCCAGAGTGAACAGAGCCTCCACACACCCCGAGCACAGGTCTGAGGCGCCTCAACAGCTAGAGAATTCGACTGACCTCTTCCCTCGCCTCCTCGTATCTGAGCTCAGGTTTATCACCCAGAGTGAACAGGGCCTCCATACACCTAACCGCTGTTTGAAGCGACTCAAAGTTTGAATAATCCACTGACCTCTTTCCTCGCCTCTTCATATCTCAGCTCAGGTTTATCACCCAGAGTGAACAGAGCCTCCACACACCCGACCGCAGCTCCGGCCCGAGCCACTTCCAGCACCTCAGCTTCGGTCATGTACGCGCGCCGAACCTGATCCGGAGGCTTGGCAAAGGTGCAGTAGGCGCATGTATCCCTGCAGAGAAATGTGACTGGAATGAAGACCTTGGGCGAGAATGTGACTATATGGGGGTCCTCCCGCTGGTCGCGAATTGTTCCGGCCGCTGAAACGAGCGTTTCAAGTGGGAGGGAGGAGATGAAACGGGCCTCTGCTGCTGTAGGCAGGTCAGAAAGGAAGGCATCTGTGGCAGCGAAAGTGGTACTGGATTCGATACTGGATTTGATCCTGTCTTTGAGTTTGGATTTGGGTTTGATACTGGAGGTAGCAGTGGTGGTGGCAGGAGCCATGACAACAAATCCGTTTTCAGTTATTCTCCTGTCCTCTTCTGTGCTCCTTCCTTTCTCCTGTCCCAATTCTCGCATTTGTTTCCCCTTCTGAGCCCGTGCAACTATGTCGTACAGCACTTTAAGCCTTTTATCTTCGTCTGCTGAATTCGTCGCTTCCTGCTGATCCAGCACACGTGGCATGTCAATCGAACGGTCAGGATCGTGCGAATCCAGCCTGCTAGCGTGTGATCCTCTCGCCTGAATCAACCTCACGAATGCCTGCTTGCGAGCTGGACTACCCGGAGACGGTACAGAGACAAGCTGATGTGTAAGGAGGAGCGCGGAGGACTGTCTACTCAACGGGATTCGCGGTTGATGATGTGTCATTCCGAGTAGATTGCGAGGTATTACGACCTTCCTGGAAAGAAATCGAGTATGAGGAGCCGCAGTAATGGTCTCCATTCTGTTTCGGACCAGCAATTAGTATGGCCGGGTCAGCAATTAGTATGGGTCGGGTCAGCAAATTTCCAGACGATTCTACTGGTCATCAGAGCCTGGAAGGAGCTAAACCCGAAAAAACCTGGGCATTACAACCAGGACTGTGAGGAAAGCGGAAGTAATTTGAAGGAATGTCAGGATTTAGGAATAAACTCCGTCAGAATCGGCGGAGTGTCAGGGACATGGCAAGTGACAGGTATGGATGGATAGTGGATTATCCCAAGTGCTGAATTTGTCAGGATGGGTGGAGTTGCCTGTGTGTGGACCGAATTCGCCCACGTTCTCGCTGTCGAAGCGAGACACGCATGTCACTTTCGCGAGAGTTCACGCGAAAAGCTTCTGCGCACTGCATTCGTTGAGAGCTATCTGGTGCTTTCGCAAAGAAATTGAATTCTGGTTACAAGGATTACTCTCGTTGCAAATGTATCGTGCCTATCCAGGCAATTCGCAAGCTCACCTCGAAATCAACCTCGAGGTTGTCTGGGCTTTTCTCCTTTCTTGCTGTCTTCACCCATTGCCACCTCATGCTGACGTGTTGGCTACCAGCAATCCAGGAATAATTCCTTTTGACTTATTTCTCGTTCTTCGCCGTAGCAACTAACAAGTCTTCTTCAAGCAGTACTATCCATCAGCTTCCTACATTTCGTTCTTGCGAACACCACAAGAGCATGTTCGTCTTTCCGGCTTGAATATATTCCTTCGCCGAACTTCACAATACCTCAACCTAGTAATAGCTGTCAGCAGCTTTCGCTTGAGAGTTTCTAGCTTGCCAATTAATAAGATTCCGAGACAGTTGTCCGCACGTTGTCCGGGGCTCAAGGGAGGGGCAGCGATTGGCAGCCATCATGCCTCGTTTTAAGACCGCGTTCAATGGATACTCGGTACGCATTTCACGCCTGAGGTAGCCGATCAAATTTCCTCTCTGAAATGCGAGGACGCTAAGCAGACGAGTTTAGTAGCCCCAATCCTTACATACCTCCAGACTTCACTCATTCATCTTATGCGCCTTGGTGCTTCCTCCATTTTCCCCTGTCTGCCCGCAGGCTCGCTTCAGTCCGTTTGTGGAGAATCGACTGGCTGTCGCCACGGCACAATCGCCTGCACGTACTCGAGGAACGCCGCTGTACCACCCTGCACCGCACTCAACTTTGCTCCTGCTCCTCTCCTCCTTCCCTTACCCCTTGTGCACCCCAGGCTCGCTTCAGTCCGTTTGTGGAGAATCGACTGGCTGTCGCCACGGCACAGAACTTCGGCATCATTGGCAACGGTCGCCTGCACGTACTCGAGGTACCGCACTGCACCGCATAAGACCTTATTAGGTATGGCACCTTTAAGTTGAGTCTCACCCCCCCAACCCAACACCCCCTTCCCCCCCACCCCCCCCCCCCCCCTCCCCTTACCCCTTGAAAGACATGTCATCCGCCTGCAACCCTACATTGATTCTTTTCACCCCCCTTACCCTCCCTCCTTTCCCCTGTTTCTTCCCCCACCATCCATTGCCGGTGCCTCAGCTCTCCCCAGGAGGCGGGTTGGTGGAGGTGATGGCGTATGACACGGCAGATGGACTGTACGACTGCTGCTGGAGTGAGGTGAGATGCAGTGCGGTACATTGTGGTGCCGTTCGGTACAGTGCGTTGCAGTGCGGTGCAGTGGGGTTGTTGCATTGCAGGCCGCGGCAGTGGGTTGGTGGAGGTTATGGCGTATGACACAGCAGATGGGCTGTACGCCTGCTGTACGACTACTTCTCGAGTGAGGTGAGATGCTGTGCCGTCCAGTGTGGTTCTGTTCGGTACAGTGCGGTGCAGTGTGGTGCAGTGGGTTGGTGGAGGTGATGGCGTATGACACGGCAGATGGGCTGTACGACTGCTGCTGGAGTGAGGTGGGGTGCAGTGCGGTACAGACAGTGCAGGTACAGTGTGTGAGTGTGGGGTCGTTTGCTTTGCAGCTGCTGCAGTGAGTTGGGTGGGGTGAGGTGATGCCAAAGCATGGGCATAAAAAGGTGGCAGATGCTGTGACTCTGTTCTGAAGGGTCAACACACAGGGCCTAGCATAGGCATCATGAGGTGATGCGGAAAGAATTTTCTCCTCATCATTTCTTCTGCCCCTTTCCCTCTGCCCCTTTCGTTCCGCTCCTTCCCTTCCGCCCCTTCCCCTTCGCCCTTTTTCCTTGGCTTCAGGCGAATGAGAATCTTCTTGTGACCGCCAGTGGCGATGGCAGTGTGAAGGTGAGTGACTTGTGCACACCATTTTCACCTCTACCCAATCTGATGCCCGTTTCGTGCCTTTGAACCGACTCCAAGCTCACCTTGAGAACCTCCTTGTGTCCGCCAGTGGCGATGGCAGTGTGAAGGTGAGTGACCCGTGCACACTGCACGACCTTGCTGCTTTGCTTCCCTGCTGTGTGAACTCCTTGTGTTGACCACTCTGGTTGGAACAGCCTACCAGGATAGGATAGCATCAATACTGTCTGTGTTAAAGCCGCACCTGGAGCTGCCGTAGCATGTGTTGAATCTTCTTACACTAGTAGCACATTGTACCCAACCCAGGATATCTAATACAAGGACCCATCGAGCATTGATAGTGTCGAGATGCTTTCTGCTTCCTTCCCAACTGTTGAATCCTACTCTCATCCGTCTCCTCTACCCTTGATTGGGACTTGGCTTTTCCTGTAGCGTATTCCTTCATATATTTCTCTCCTCATATATCCCTTCTAATATTCCCTCCTTTGTGCTTCTTTTGCTCTCGCCCTCCCCAGATATGGGACTTGGCTCTCCCCCCCGCCAGCAACCCCATCCGCAGCTTGGAAGAGCACATTCGAGAAGTGTGTGTATCCCCTGCCCTCTTCAATGTGTTTATGCTGATCCGCTGCCCTTTTGAGTGTGCACATTTCAATTCGCTACCCTCTTGAGTCTTCTTCCTGCATCTTACCCATCATTCCTTGCCTAGTGACCTCGTTTCGATCTCCCACACCCTCCCCATCTCACGTCTCTCCCCATCTCACGTCTCTCCCCATCTCACGTCTCTCCCCATCTCACCTCTCTCCCCATCTCACGTCTCTCCCCATCTCACGTCTCTCCCCATCTCACCTCTCTCCCCATCTCACGTCTCTCCCCATCTCACGTCTCTCCCCATCTCAACTCTCTCCCCATCTCACGTCTCTCCCCATCTCAACTCTCTCCCCATCTCACGTCTCTCCCCATCTCACGTCTCTCCCCATCTCACGTCTCTCCCCATCTCAACTCTCTCCCCATCTCACGTCTCTCCCCATCTCACCTCTCTCCCCATCTCACGTCTCTCCCCATCTCACGTCTCTCCCCATCTCAACTCTCTCCTCATCTCACGTCTCTCCCCATCTCAACTCTCTCCCCATCTCACGTCTCTCCCCATCTCAACTCTCTCCCCATCTCACGTCTCTCCCCATCTCACCTCTCTCCCCATCTCACGTCTCTCCCCATCTCACGTCTCTCCCCATCTCAACTCTCTCCCCATCTCACGTCTCTCCCCATCTCAACTCTCTCCCCATCTCACGTCTCTCCCCATCTCACCTCTCTCCCCATCTCACGTCTCTCCCCATCTCACGTCTCTCCCCATCTCACGTCTCTCCCCATCTCACGTCTCTCCCCATCTCACGTCTCTCCCAATATCACGTCTCTCCCAATATCACGTCTCTCCCAATATCACGTCTCTCCCCATCTCACCTCTCCCCATCTCACCTCTCCCCATCTCACCTCTCCCCTTCTCACCTCTCCCCATCTCACCTCTCCCCTTCTCATCCTTGTAAAAAAAGAGCATCATTTCCTCCTTTCCCTCTTTCTTCCAGCCAATCAGTGGACTGGAACGTTGTGCGCCGTGACTCCTTCCTCTCATCATCCTGGGACGATACAATCAAGGTATGACACAATCGAATGACTGGGACGACAGGAATGGTAGAACCAGGTATGATAATTGCAATGGGGGTGAAACATACGAGGTGATTCGTCCAAGTGCAATGCACCAGTCCCGACACTAAGTCTTTGAAATTTCTTGCATCAGTCCCATCCCATCCACCCACTGCCGAGCAGCGGAGGTTATCTCAGTCTGGTCTCAGTCTGGTCTCAGTCTGATCTCAGTCTGGTCTCAGTCTGATCTCAGTCTGGTCTCAGTCTGATCTCAGTCTGGTCTCAGTCTGGTCTCAGTCTGGTCTCAGTCTGGTCTCAGTCTGATCTCAGTTTGGTCTCAGTCTGATCTCAGTCTGGTCTCAGTCGGGTCTCAGTCGGGTCTCAGTCGGGTCTCAGTGGGGTCTCAGTCGGGTCTCAGTCTGGTCTCAGTCTGGTCTCAGTCTGGTCTGGTCTCAGCCTGGTCTCAGCCTGGTCTCAGCCTGGTCTCAGCCTGGTCTCAGCCTGGTCTCAGCCTGGTCTCAGTCTGGTCTCAGTCCGGTCTCAGTCGGGTCTCAGCCTGGTCTCAGTCTGGTCTCAGTCGGGTCTCAGCCGGGTCTCAGTCTGGTCTCAGTCTGGTCTCAGTCTGGTCTCAGCCTGGTCTCAGTCTGGTCTCAGCCTGGTCTCAGTCTGGTCTCAGCCTGGTCTCAGCCTGGTTCAGTGCACAGAATAAACTCCTCCAGCTGCATCTTTTCTCTCCTCTTTCCTCCTTCCAACGCTGGGCACTGGAGTCGTGGCTCAGCTAAAAAACCCGCCCCCTGCTTCTACACCTGTGTCTTGCTCCCGTCCGTCCCCCTTCCAGTTATGGGCGTTGGAGTCTGGGCAGTCCCTGGGGACGTTCAGGGAGCACACGTACTGTGTCTACTCTGCTGTCTGATATGGAAAGTGTCTTGACATGTACCCTTTGCGCGTCTTACTTGCTCCCGTCCGTCCCCCTTCCAGTTATGGGCGTTGGAGTCAGTCCCTGGGGACGTTCAGGGAGCACACGTACTGTGTCTACTCTGCTGTCTGATATGGAAAGTGTCTTGACATGTACCCTTTGCGCGTCTTACTTGCTCCCGTCCGTCCCCCTTCCAGTTATGGGCGTTGGAGTCAGTCCCTGGAGACGTTCAGGGAGCACACGTACTGTGTCTACTCTGCTGTCTGATATGGAAAGTGTCTTGACATGTACCCTTTGCGCGTCTTACTTGCTCCCGTCCGTCCCCCTTCCAGTTATGGGCGTTGGAGTCAGTCCCTGGGGACGTTCAGGGAGCACACGTACTGTGTCTACTCTGCTGTCTGATATGGAAAGTGTCTTGACATGTACCCTTTGCGCGTCTTACTTGCTCCCGTCCGTCCCCCTTCCAGTTATGGGCGTTGGAGTCAGTCCCTGGAGACGTTCAGGGAGCACACGTACTGTGTCTACTCTGCTGTCTGATATGGAAAGTGTCTTGACATGTACCCTTTGCGCGTCTTACTTGCTCCCGTCCGTCCCCCTTCCAGTTATGGGCGTTGGAGTCAGTCCCTGGGGACGTTCAGGGAGCACACGTACTGTGTCTACTCTGCTGTCTGATATGGAAAGTGTCTTGACATGTACCCTTTGCGCGTCTTACTTGCTCCCGTCCGTCCCCCTTCCAGTTATGGGCGTTGGAGTCAGTCCCTGGAGACGTTCAGGGAGCACACGTACTGTGTCTACTCTGCTGTCTGATATGGAAAGTGTCTTGACATGTACCCTTTGCGCGTCTTACTTGCTCCCGTCCGTCCCCATTCCAGTTATGGGCGTTGGAGTCAGTCCCTGGGGACGTTCAGGGAGCACACGTACTGCGTCTACTCTGCCGTCTGATATGGAAAGTGCCTTGACATGTACCCTTTGCGCGTCTTACTTGCTCCCGTCCTTCCCCCTTCCAGCTGTGGGCGTTGGAGTCAGGGCAGTCTCTGAGGACGTTCAGGGAGCACACATATTGCGTCTACTCTGCTGTCTGGTATGGGACATGACTTGAGACTTATCCTGAAAACAAAATCTTGAAATGTATATTGACGCATATTAAAGCGGCGGTATACATTCTAAAAGGGGGTTTTGGGGGGTAATCTAAGTGCACACCCTTTGGTGCGCGATGATTTGAGGGCGAGGTGTGGTTTTTCCCCAAACACCTGTGCGAGGAATTCAAACAAAGTTGGCGATGCGGAACAATTTCGCGAGTGTGTTATTCTGGGGGAACAAATCCGCGGAAAGGCGGAAATTTCAGCGCCCAACACAAACAACCAAGCGGAAAGTTATGCGCCCACCCCGCTCCCTCCTTCCGCCTGGATCGTTCGTTTCTTCTGGAGAGTCTGCTACCCTGTTTTCAAGTGATAAACCAGGGCCTGTCCCTCGAGGTATGTAGACCGCAGCTTTAAGTCTAAACAATCCATTCAGTGTGCATTCAATGCGCAGTATGGTAAGCCGCGACCAGTGCTCATTCTCCCAGCCCATCACATGAAAGTCCTCTCTTTGATTCCTCCATGTGACCCCATCCCTTTGTCCACTCTGCCCCCTCCCTTGGTTTGCATCCTCCCCTCCCTTCATCTCCTCCCTCTCCCTTGGTCCACCTCACGCACCTCCACAGGAACCCTGCTCACCCGGATGTCTTTGCATCAGCATCTGGCGATTGCACTCTCCGCATCTGGGACCTCCGTGAGCCACCACCAGTAATCCCTGACCGAGCTTTCCCTTTCCCCCTTGTCTCCACCCCCTTCCTTGCTTAACACCTCATTTAACCCCACAGGAACCCCGCCCACCCAGATGTATTCGCATCAGCATCGGGCGATTGCAGTCTCGGCATCTGGGGCCTCCGTGAGCTGTGATCCGTGCTTGTTCTTCCAGCCCACGACATGGAAGTTCTCTCTTCGACTCCTCCATCTGACTCGTTCAAACCCCCTTCCTCCCCCCGCCCCCGCTCCCTTTGTCCTCTCTGCACCCTTCCTTTGTATCCTGCCTCCCTTCATTTCCCCCCTCGTTCCACTTCCCACCTCCACAGGAACCCCGCTCACCCCGATGTATTCTCATCAGCATCGGGCGATTGCACTCCCCGCATCTGGGACCTGCGTGAACCGCGATCAGTGCTCGTGCCTCCCTGCTCACCCCTCTCCTTTCATCCACTCCCCACATCCTCAGGAACCCCGCTCACCCCGATGTGTTTGCATCAGCATCTGGCGATTGCACCCTTTGCATTTGGGACCTGCGTGAGCCGCGGTCCGTTCTCGTCCTCCCAGCCCACGACATGGAAATCCTCTCCTGTGATTGGAACAAGTACGGCGGCGGGTCACTCATCGCCACAGCTTCGGTCGACCGAACCATCTGCATGTGGGACATCCGGGCGCCCCGGCCTGGGCCTGGCCGTCCCGAGCCTCTGGCTCGGTTGCAAGGGCATGCGTATGCGGTTCGACGCGTGCGGTGCTCGCCGTTCCACGAGCCGTTGCTTGCTTCGGCGTCGTATGACATGACGGTTTGCTCGTGGGATTTTAGAGCTCCGGAAGACGCGCTTTTAGGGAAGTTGGATCATCATACGGAGTTTGCCGTGGGGTTGGATTGGAGCCCGTTGGTTGAAGGGCTCATGGTGTCGTGTGGATGGGATGAAATGGTGTATGTCTGGCAACATGGGATGGACCCAAGGCTTGGTTAGCAGGTTGGCTTTGGGTTGTTGGGAATTGAAATGTAAGTGAGAGTTGGATAAATGTAAAGAGTCGGGAAAAGATAATGTAACATATTTTCAACGTCTTGTTTCAAATACGGTAGGCAATTTTGTGTGCCTGTAAGGAAAATTCCTTTTCCTTACGTCGCGTCCCTGCTTACCGCGTACATGTCCGTTCCCGCCATCGGCACCCATCCATGAACGTTACCCGTTCACGACATTCGCCTCGACCACGACTCCCGCCACTGTTCACGACGCGACCCAACCTAACGGTTCGGTTGATAACCCGCGCTCCGGACCTCCGCCTCGACAATTCCCCAACCCTCGGCGCTAGGCCCGTAGCGCACCCCAATTTCCCACATTACCGTTACCACGCTAGCTTCGCTATATAACTTCGCTCATGCTTTTCGCTCAACTACATTGATTGCTTCGATAGTGCAATTCTCACTCGCTCGTTCAATTGCACTCGTAACACTTGGTATTCAGAGCCTACGATCTCTTCTGGGACCGCACCCACACCTTCGCTTCTCTGCTATCTCAATTTTTTGGGGGGGTAGACGTCTCTCAGCGAACAAGCACCGCCGCTCGAAGTGCTCTCTCGTAAGCACGCACGGCCACGACCGAGGCTCTCGCTGAGCTTGCCCGACACCCCCGCCATGGCTGAAATTAATCTCGCGACACTGACGCAGGAGCAACTCGATCGTCTCGTGCGCCAACTCGAAGAATCGCCGCTCGAAATTGCAACACTCACGGCGGAACGTGACTCCGCTCGTCAGCAATCCACGGTGAATGCTCCAGCGCCACCACACGCACCTGCAAATGCACCCGCACAATCGGAGGAACCGATCATCATTTCATCAGGCACACCGACACAAAACGACAGCGTGGGACAGCGCTCAGGCGCAGCCAGTGATGGCGCCGCTCAATCAATGCTTGGAATGGAGAGGAACAGGGCCGCGCCAAGCCCACGGGAGCCCCGTGAAGCCCGTCGGCACGTGGAGTTTGCGGCGACAAGTGGCGACCACGCCCTCATGGCACCAATGCCACGGAATGATTGGGATTAGGGTTTGCAAGCATACAAATAGGAGTCCTACAAATGTTGTACCCTCTAGGGAATGCCTCACTGCAGCCTATCATAACATTAACATTTGACACACCCCCATAGGCTAAGTGAGGGACACCAGGGCAAGCAAGGTAAAACAAACGGTCACAAGACCAGTCAAGGCAAGACAAGCTCAGGGTGGATCTCAAGGACACCACACAAATTCCGAGCACAAGCAAGCGGCCACAAGGCCAGTTCAATAGTTCACTAGGATATAAATAGGAAAACACAACAAGCAGAGCAAGCAACAAGACTACAGCAACCGGGGGCCTACCTCAACAAGCCCCAACTGCACACAGAACCTGTGGTGATCACCAAGCGCCAAGGCCTTGGTGAAGACGTCTGCAGTGTTGGCCTCTGAGGCCACAAAGTCCAGGCGTGCCTGGCCGCGTCGCTGCAGCTCTCGCAGGAGGAAGTACCTCACGTCAATATGCTTCACTCTGCTCTCCAGTCGAGGCTCTCGACACAGGAGGATCATGGCCTTGTTGTCAGCGTACAAGGTCGGTGCAGAGCAAGGCCGCTCACCAAGGTCGGCGAGCAAGAAGGTCAACCAGCGAAGCTCCTGTGCCGCCATGGCACCAGCGTAGATCTCTGCCTCTGCACTGGAAGTAGCCACAGACGACGACCGTGTAGACCTCCACGACACAGCACCAGCTCCCAGACTGAAGCAGTAACCCTGAGTCGAGCGCTGAGTCTCCACGTCGTCAACGTAGGAAGAGTCGCAGTGACCAGTCAACGCCACTGGCTGAGTCCCTCCAAGCACAAGCCCCATGCCTGATGTAGTCGCCAGGTACTTCGCCACCCTCACAGCAGCTGTCCAGTGGACAGGACGGTATCTCCCAGTCGCAACAAAGCGAGAGAGGATGCTGAGGGGAAAGGCGAGGTCCGGCCGAGTACAAGTCATCAGGTACATGAGGCAGCCCACAAGCTCTGCGTAGGGACCACTGGGCTCAAAGGGCTCGTCAGGAAAGGGGCCAGTGAGTCGGTGGTCAACAGCAAGAGGAGTGGGCTGTGTGGTGGAGAACTGGAAGTCGAACCGCCGAAGCACCTGCTGCACCATGTGTGACTGCGTCAGTGTGATGGTGCGAGCGGCTCTGTTCCTGGTGATCTGCAGGCCAAGGTAGC